AGTAGATATTCTCGTTTTCTTCTTTCTTTCTCTCTGTATGCTACAACCAAATTGAGGGTTTAGGGTTTACCTTTCTACTCAGCTCTACAGGCAAGACAGACACACACCGATCTAAACCCTCAATGAACTGTCTCTCCACCTCTTCTAGCGCCACCATAAACCGTACCCTTTCTCCTTCGCTTATCTCTTCAGGGGCCCCCCCATGGGGGCCCCCCTGGGGGCCCCCATGGGGGCCCCCATGGGGGGCCCCCCCTTGGGGGCCCCCGCCCCTGGGGGCCCCCAAGGGGGTCCCCTTGCTGCTTGGGGCCCCCCCTCTCGACACACCGCGAGAAGGGGAGGGGCCCCCCCTTGTACTTGTCGTTTGAGGGGGGGGGCCCCTGCTGCCTGTTCTGCTGCGGCGAGAAGCAGCAGCAGCAGCTGCTGCTGCTGCTGTTGCTGCTGTTGTAGGAGTTGATGTGGGCCCCCCTGAAAACGGGTTTGTTTTAGTGCTGCTGCTGGGGGGCCCCTCACCACTGGGGGCCCCCCTAGTCGCCCTGTACCCTTTTGGGGGGCCCCCCTCCTCCTCGCGGTGAGCAGGGGGGGCCCCCCTCTCCATAACTTTCCCTCTTAGATTTAAATTAAGCTGCGCCAGCTCTGCCTGGTTCCTCTCTAGGGCCTCAGCCAGAGCAGCCACGCTGCAGAGAGCAGGGGGGCCCCCCTGGGGGGCCCCCAGGGGGGCCCCCCTAGATACCCCTCTGGGGGCCCCAGTACACGGGGAGGCCCCCACTGGGCTGGAGGAGATCCGGCGGGTAGACATGTGCTGCTGCTGCTGCTGCTGCTGCTGCTGCTGCTGTTGGTGCTGGGGTGTACGTGCACCCCGTCGCAGCCGAGTCCCTGCAGGTACTGTGGAGAGGGGGGCCCCCCGGGTGGCTGTATAGAGGGGGCCCCCCTCGGTGGGGCCCCGGGGTGTATGGGGGTCGCAGAGGCTCCTCCTGGTGTATTCTTTCAGGCTAGACACCGCTAGGGGTACAGAGCGGGCCCTTGGGGGGCCCCTGTGGGGGGCCCCCTGGTGGGGGCCCCCTAGGGGGCCCCCAGAGGGGGGCCCCTGCTGCTCAGGGCGTCGAGATGCAGGGGGGGGGCCCCTCTTCACACACCGCGGGGTTGGGGGCAGAGGGAGAGGCAAAGATACTGCTGCGCCTGGCGGGGCGT